AACAAGAAGCAATTTTCTTGATCTGTTCCTGTGCATGTATGCAGACGACAGTGTGTCATGCTGTGCTGGTTTTAGCCCCAAGTAAAGAACATGCATATGCGTTTGCATGACATGGTAAGATGGCCTCCACATCAGATATAGCTACAGAGCACCATCGTAAAAGTGTTCACATACAGAAACATAAAGCATACACATGTGAGGGGTGGTGTTTGACTCACAGGATGTTGACTATAAAACATAAATTAATAATCTGAAAGTTTTTTCAGATTATTTCAGATTCTGATCTTTGAGTTACAGTGAGTGAAGTTCATTATATTGAGTGATTGCCATAATAGCGTGCATACTTTGAACTTCAGTGTGTGAGTTTACCATACTGCATTAATCATCAATCATCAATAATAGCCCAAATCTACACATGATCCATGACAATGACAATACAGAAAGATAGATAGAAATAGAAAGAAAAATAGAATAGAAATGCAGGGCAAAAACAGTATATTGTAAATATGTTTTCAGGGGAGCTCATGTCTTATTAACAGGAACCAAGCTCCCCCTGGCTCCCCTGTAGTTTGCACCCTGCATACAAGCACTAACATATGGAAAGTAGGCACATGGACACCTGTGCTCACCAAAATAATCTCTTGTCCTACATGTGATTTTCACCTTTTCTGTTTTTGTTTTGTTTTGTTTGTTTTTTATGGGTGTCAGTGGAAAATATTTATAAACATGTCTGCGACAGATAGTAGATTGTTGAGTCTCCCGGTTGCAGTTTGGTGATGTTTAGGCACAAAAACTATTTAAGTTTAGGAAAAGAATGCTACATACCTGACGTTACTTAAGTTAACTTACAGCTTTACTTTTGGTTTCACACGACCGGAAACGAACAGCGTTCTCCTGGGTTAAAGTCCTGTCCGGAGAGAGTTAATGGGTTGAAGCCCTGTGTTTGTTTGAGCCATCCATCCACTCATTACCTCTTTATGCAGACTTTCTTGCTCTTTATTCATACGTCTACCTGCAATATCTACTGTAACAAGGATGCATACAATTAAAGGCTTGTTGTCATGTGTGCAAAGCAGGGTCTTTTATTTGCACCTCTGCTAACAATAGTATATGTTCAGTAAATCGGTCAGCTTGTTCAGTGGCCATATCTACTGAATTTTATCTTGAAGGTAAAAAGCTGCTGAGAGCAAATGGTGAGTCAGTGTGTTTTTTTTTTTTTCTTTGTAAGAATTGGCATTAAAGCATTTATTTCAGCCATTTGATGAGTACATTTGATTATACCTTTTACCCTGAGCTTGGATATTTTTTCCCTTCCGGCCTTGACATCATTATATTTAATGGCAGCAGTGTTTCAGCACACAACAGCTACTGACTGTGAGTCATAATACCGAAAAAGATTAACATTTCAACAAAAAAGGAAGTCTATTGTCAGGTAGCTGACCCCGGTTGCCTTTCAGTTAACATAACTAACCACTTACAAGATCAACAACTGCTGCTGTTTCTAGTTTTCCCAGAACAGCAGCAAAATTGACATAATTAAAAATCAATACAGGACTAATTATGTTCCCTTTTCAAGGCAGAGTGGTTGAGAGACATGTAATTATAGTTTTCTGTACACCTGACAGTGGTGATGGGACTTCTGTAAGGCCAAACCTAAATAAAGATATACTCTTAGCAAAGTGTAGTGATTTCCAATTATCATTAAATCCACAAAAAGGAATGAAGAGACGAGTCACCCTCTTTTTTGTCCGTCAAACTTTTTTTTAACTAAGAGGATAATTGTGGCCATTGTCATTGTCCTAGAAACTACGTCAAGCGTGAGATCAAACTCTGTGTTTACAGTTTCTCAGCTGGTGAGTCTGACATTCAGGGCTACAGGACCACTTATAAAGAACAAGGCGTGGCAGACATGCTATAAAAATTAACATCAATGTGGACTTGCATTACATCTAAGCAATATAACATGACACCGTTCATGAAGTGGAATACTCTGAAGGTCAGATACACTGGAGTCATGTTTGTTTGGTTCATTTGGTTGTCTCATTCAGTCTACTGCTTAATTTTAAGGGATAATATATCGATCACATTAAAATTATAGTACAATATGCCATATTTTGGCATTTGTAACACTGCAAACACACAACCAGATCTGTACTGGGATTATGACTGCAGTTATTCTTAATTGTCTTTACTGGTCCTTGACACATGGGGCTGTAATCAACAACAAATCAGATTTATTTACCTTGATTTACGTGGACAATAAAACCCGGTACACACACTAACTGTTGCACATGCTGTTGCTGTTTAATCTCAGGTGTCTCCTCCCTGCAAACAAACTGGTTATTATGGAAGGGAGTTAATGTATTCATGGGATCATTCACTACCTCCTCAGGCAGAGTGGTCTCCTCCCAATGTTTGACCACATACACATTTACTTCACCAAACCAACAACTATAACAGTTTTATGGTTCTAGTCGGACATGTGATCTGGAGACGAGTTCATAAAAAACAAACTTTGGGGCTTTTTACTTTCATTCATTTTTGAGAGACTGAATCACCAGCAAAATTACGTACCAACTGAGCTCACGCAGCAAGCATGGATTTGGTGATTTGCAGTCAAAAGGCATTTAGCGTCTCGTTTAAAACTGGACTAAATGTGAGGAAACAGTCTCTCTACAACCTGAATTTAGTAGCTCTTCAGGAGCTTTTGAGAATCACATGATCTTCATCAGCAGATGGAGGTTTCCCCATTATCCATGGGATTGTAGATTTAACCACAGTCGTTCAAATGATACTGAAAGTCTTCGCCTTTTGACCACTTAGTTACTGTTAATTGCCCAGTAATCACTGCCTCCTTGGTCGTGCAGCACAATAGGTTTGGCTTATTTTGGGCAATGACAGGACGCATATAAAAAACAAATATCAATTAAAGCTTATTTTGTTTGAATAATTAAAAACAATGACAATTAGGGCTGTACCTGAATCAGAATATTCAGAGTCGAGCCCAGCAAACAAAAAACAGTCGTGCTGTTCACCATCTCACTGTCCTCCGTTTCCATCACAGTTAGTTTTATAGTTTGGGTAATGTTGATACCATGCTGTTATCCTGTGTTACCCGTGTACAATGACACAGCTAAAACAAAAGTGCTGTAAATAAAATGGCAAAATGTGATTTGACACGATGGCTTCTGGACTGACAGCAGCCAGTTAGCTTAGCTTAGCACACAGACCGGAAACAATGGGAAACTAGCTATCCTGGTTCTGTACAAAGGTAACAAAGTCTACTAACACCACTAAAGCTCACTAATGAATCTGTTTTTTTAATGCATACAAAATGACAGCCTGGCAACCTCTGCACCTGGCCAAGAAATAGTCTGAAACATAACACCAGAAGATTTTGTTCCTTTGTTAAGAGTTGAATTCTGGCGTTAGGTATAGCCGTCTTTTTTTCGAAATGAAAACTCTAAACGGTCTGCCAGAATGCGTTATCCAGTGGAAGATGGACTCTCTCATCTCTTTGGTAATATACTGTCTCACACACTGCCAAAACTTGTCACACAAATATGTTTGCCTGTTGATGTTCACAGGATTTCTGGGAAATCAAAACGTTTTTTTTTTTTTTTTTGCGCAGTCACTGACACAGCATAAAAACCTCTTATCTTCTAATTTGCGTACATTAATGTCATCTATGACTCCAGATGTGATGGAGTACAGACGGCCTCCGGTCATTGCAAGTGGGTGGTTTCTATTTATCTGTGATACAACAGGCAGAAACCACGCATTAGGAGTCACAACAGCCACTTTATGTTTATAGTGAAGACTTTTGACCCATATTTTGTTGTTTAAACTGGTGATAGCACACATTGCCTCTCATGCTTTCACTTATTAGGTTGTCAGAGACTTTTGTCCATATTTGGGAATAGGGATGTGACATAATATCCATTATACATTATATTTTAGCACAGATTGTCATAAAAACACTGATTGTGCTAAGTTTCTGTAATCGGGATAATCATGAATATCCTCACAAGTGACTTGAAAGCTGTCTAGCCCTTTTATTTTGTGATTTCCGGATTTATTTTATATTGCCACAAACGGGTAACCCATATTTTTCTTTACAAAATCTAAAGCTTGTCAGCATGGCGAAAAGCGAACCTCCACCGGATGTATGGAAAAACTATGGATCCCAACTAAAGAATGACAGGAAGATGAGGTGTAATTAAAACAATTTGTTCAACACTTGTAACTTAATGTAAGGTAAAGTGGTTGTATTATGTTTTAGTGCAATTTTAAGCTGTTTTAAGCAAAATTTCATGATTGAGATAATATTGTGAATTATTTTGGCCATGATAGTCATGATATGAAATCTTTATATGCCTGTTTGGGACTCATCTGTAGGAGATGTGTTCTCCAAAAAAAGGCCCTGGCTGACCTGACAGATGCTGAAAACCTGCACTGAAAGATGTTTCTGAAAAGTCTGATCACACCATGAGTCACTGGGAGCGTTGAGAGCTGAATTTCAAACACCTCAGTAGCATTTTTAATGCGGAGCCGCCTCCCCCGCCCCTTCCATTTAGACCTCCACTTCCCCCGAATCTATACAATCTAACTGAATGTGTCAGGTTTCATGAAATCCTCTGAGGCAGTGTTGGCGGTTGCTGATTTCAGAAGCTCCTCAGAGGTGTAAAATCCATTACATGGTCGTAGGTGACGGGAAATTAAAGTTCCAGTGAACCAAAAGCTTTAAAGATGATAACTGGTCTTCTAGATAGAATGAAACCCTTAAGTCTCCTTGTGGAAATGTTATTGACTGTTTTGGTCATTAGGACGGCAACAAGCTCATTTGATCCATCAGCTAAAACCTCAGTGTGCAGCTCACCACTATACAGGCTGAATTGGATGTGGCGTATCGACTCGCTATAGTTACTGATGCTGAACTCGCAATTACACTGCTCATGTTTGTACAGCGGGACGGTTGAGAGGAAGTGAGAGACAGAGACTTCTACTGCAAACTGATTTTAATGGATTTGTCGGTTACATAAATGACATTGATCTTGAGTGGTCTGTCCCACTCGAGGAGGAGTATGCTGGAGCAGTGATGTGATGTGTAACTAAAGGGGGGCAGAAGGAGGGAGTGCCCACGTGAAACCGTTTTCTCTGCACAGAAAAAAAACACAATTCGGGTCCTGACCTGGGAGACATTGACACAAATGCTTTGATTTAAATTCAAGAACACACATCAAATGTTATTCTGAAAAATACTCCAATAAACAGCCTTTAGTTGTTACTGTAAAAACATCGTCATTGCTAGGAAATGCTGCTCCAAATGAGGCATGAGTGTACCAAATACTCCCTAATTTTTTGGAAAATATCCTGATTAGTCTAAAACTTGAACAATAGGGTTCCTCTCCTCTCCGCTCCTTTTTTTCCCCTACTACAAGGCATACACTTGATGAAGCATAGTATCAAGTTCTTATCAAACAAAACTCGTATCCAGTTTTTTCTTCTGCAACCACATACACACATTGCTATTCATCATTTCTGAATGGAAGAAGAAAAGGAAATGTGACTTTTGGACAGTAGGTGGCGGCATTAGCTCTTGTCTGTTTGAGTCTAGTTAGTCTAATTAGAAATCATTAATTCACTTCTAGATCTTTTGCAGAGCAAACTACACCAGTTAGAATTAAGAAATGATTAATATAGATTACAGCTGTAGATGTACTGAGGGGCGGTGGTATAAAACTTTCCATTTGGAGACTGTTCTGTGTATCAAAACCGGGATGCAGCCTGAAGTAAACAGGTTTTACAGCTAACTACAGAAGGTCATTTGTTTGGTGTTTTTCCTCCATCAGTCTTCTTCACTGGATTGGGTTACGCCCCTTTTAAAGCCCTCCAAACAAAACTAAATTAAAACAAAACATACAAACATAAAAACAAAGCAAAACCTGCATAAGATAAATAAGATTACAACTGATGTTCTAGTAAAATAGGCATCAAAAAGATTCTCATGTAACAATTGTGAGAATTATTCACAGATATTATGATTTGTATTTGTATAAGTATAAGTTGTTCCCTGATAGGTGAATCTCTGCGGTTTTGTGCGCTGAACTGAGGTACTGCGTGTGATTTATAACTTCAGGTACCTCCGGTCTTCATCCCAACCTCAGCCTTGATGACGCCCTGAAGACATTTCACTTCATCTTTGGATGCTATTAAAAGAGAACAGGAAAGTGATGACAAGTGAAATCAATACTCGGTACAGTTCACATCAAGGAAAAAGCAGACAGACATGAGTCTACAGTTCATAATATGCTACAGCATGAGCTGAGGCGGGATACCAAAATGTCTTGGATAAAGGCAAGTCAAAAACAGATTAGCAGAGGGCCCACCGCAAAGAAACCTGGTCAATAAAACACCACAGAGCCACGATTTTACAACTACTAAGCTACAAATGGCACCAAACCACTAAAGAGTTCCAAATAATTAACCAACAGCCAAGTTTGTGATGCTAAACTAACCCTAGATGAGGACACTTGACCGGAAATGTAACTGCACGCCCCAATCTGACCTGCCATCCCATCCAATTAAACGCTTCACCCATCATAGGTGCCTCTTCCTGGGCCCACAGACAGTCATTAGAGATATTTGTCTCTATTTAATTTCCATTTGCTACAGATGGGCAGCAGAGGGATTCAGAGACATTATCTGAATCCCGAGGAGAGGAGGTGCAGGCCTCCGTGCAGCTGCATGAGGTGGCAAAAAAAATTGGGTTTAGGAAACTCACATAACCCTGCTGATGGTAATGCAGTTGGTAGGTGGGAATTAGAGGTGGATCATTCAAAACCAGCACACTAGAAGTGAGGTAATACAGTTTTCATGTAATAAACGTGCCAAATTGATTGAGCTTTTGCATTCTAGCCGTTTCATTAGTTTCTGCTTTTTCCCTCTTAATTCATCTATTTATATCAAATACACATCTAAAAACCCTCCACACTGGAGTTGTTTGATGAAAATAATATAATATCCTCAGTCGTCAAGGCAGAAAGAAAGAAGTCTTAGATGTTGTTGACACCAGCCGAGAGAGAGAGAGGGGGGGGGTGATAAAAAAAAAATGCAGATGCCTGGATGGGCCAAGCCAGATCTGAGAGGCAATGGTGCACAGCAGTGCACAGAGGTGAGAAGCCGAGCAATGAACTTGAAAGTGGATTCTGGGAACACTGCAGTGCTTCTGGTGAGCCATCTGTTGATCTGCTGAGTAGAAATACTTTGAAATGTTTCCAGAGCAGAAATACGGACTAAAAGAATGCAGCTCTTAAATCAACTTCAATTTCTATTTTTAAGAAGTGATGGTTTTTGAGAATCCATAAAAATTTTTTCCATACCTCAACAGGCTAACACAAAGGAAAGTGAACATATAAACACTATAAACTGTTGGGGATTTGCTGAGCAAGAGCAAATGGAGAAATATCCCCGGTAAACTGAACTGATGGGGACTTGTCCCCAGACTGCAGCACACAGATGCAGAAACATTGCATGATGGATCTGGTTGTGCAGCAAGGGAGAGTGGGTTTATGGGATGGGTGGATACGCCACAGTTCTCTACAAAGTGCACAGCGTGCAACCACAGCATACCTAACTCAATCCTGGTCTGCAACTCTTCCTGGCCTGGCTCTCCCTAAATGTTCCCAAGATAATTGCCACTTCTTCTCCAGGCTAGATTTGTCTTCATTTTGACAGACGGTCAAATATATAGTTTTTTTGTGTGCTTGGAAATGCGCCTTCAGAGTAAACAAGTGGCAGCTTGCTTGGTTTCAACAGTCCAGTCTCTTGGATGTTAGATCATTGACCCTTTTTTCTGAAAAATATTCCCTGGAAACCTGAATGCACCAGTAGCTTAAAAAAATATATAATTACAAACAAGTACAGGTTGTGACTCACATGACGTCCCAAAAAGCTCTGAGATTAGATATAACCTTGTACTTGTTAAGTAAACAGAGGCACGAGTGCTTTTATCCACTGATTAATCATTAGCTTGTCACATGTGTGGCATCTGGATCTCCTTTACAGAATTCAAAAGGTAAAACTTGGCATGTAAGGTGAGTGGCAGTGGAGTAGAGAGACTGTGGGGCATTAAATAAAAATTAAAAAAATGGTGATCATATACTTTCTGATGACCTGTGCAGTTTTCAAATTAAGTTTCAATAGCACCAATTCATGTTAAAATGCAGTCCACGACCACAAACCTACACGGCAAAGTTCTGCACTCAAGTACAGCTGTGTCTTGTGGATGTTACTTACAGCAGCAGCCAGTGCTTGCTCCAGGTCTTCAATGATGTCGGCCTCATCCTCCAGTCCCACAGAGAGTCGGATCAGTGTGTCACTGATCCCAAGGACACTCCTCTCTTTTTCTGGCACTGATGCATGAGTCATAATTGCCCTAAATTATGATAGACAACAAGGCCACTGACATATGAGCCATATACAGAAAAACATCCTGCTGTTTTAACAAATTAGGAGATATAGACTTCATAATGTCAGTAAAGTCAATTAAAATCTTTCTGATAGGGATTTGTTTCTTGATCTCTGCTGCCCCCTTGTGGTGCTGCTTGTTACATTACATCTTAGATTACAGGGAGTGGAAGTCTCTGTTATACTTATTGAACTGTGCTACTATTTCTGTCATAAACACAAAAATAAAAAACACAGTCTGAGGTTTTGGTACAGTTGTATATCAAAATAATTTATTTATAATACTGTTAAGTACAATTTGGCAGGGATACTTACGGATGTTCTGCTAAACTTTCATAACCACCAAGACTCTCAGCTATCGCAAACATCTGAAATAAGAAGACAACAGAGGACATGAAGTGAAATATAGTGCAGGACATAAATAATGTGTAAAAATTAAGTAGTTATGGTATGTATGTGGTGTGGTGTATGTTGTTGTCTATTAGTCCCCAAAGCCCCTATAGTCCAAGGTTATTATAGTTAACTAAAACTAAAACTAAAACTAATACTAGTTGTGTGTGTGGTCAAACATGAGGAGGCATTGGTGCATATCTTTATTGAGAGTGAGATGTCTATATGACTTGAAGCCAATGTGTGCGTGTTGTAATACCTATTCTGAACTTCTTAAATCATTAAAGACAAAATATCCCACATATAAAAAATATTATAATAAAAGAAAAAGAACTAAAACTCTAAAAACGTAACGTAATGTTTAAACAATAAAAACTAAACAAACCCACTCTGGAAACTAACTGAAACTAAATTGAACTGAAAATAATAAAAATAAAAAATAATGAAAAATACAAAACTACAATAACTCTACCAGTCTCTCTCCAGTCTTAATTCTCAACATTACATACTTGCAAAACACAAAATTGAACAGATCAAATCCAAATGCCAAATTACTTTGAGGTTACTGAGGAAGGTGGTGGCATGCTCGAGTTTCCCCTTAATGTAGAAGGTGATCATCCCCGGACATCCGGTGCACTGTCTCTTCATCACATCATGCTGGGGGTGAGAGGGCAGGCCTACATCGAGAGGGAGAAAACGTGAACTGTCGGATGGTGATTACAGGATGTTTTTACTTCACTAGACCACGGCCAAGTAGAGGTGTGCCCGTTCATAGACAGTGTGTGGGTTTGAATACTAACAACTCAAACAACAAACATACATGTATGGACATACATTCTTCTTTAAATAGTGTTTAAACAGGCACATTTAGTGTATTCTAACCCTGGAGTGTGCACACCTTTGGTTCACTGCTGTTCAAATAGACGTTCAGCTGCAGATGTAATCGGAGGCTGTGGTAACAACCAAATACATGAGTGTAAGGAGATGGGCTGTTTACCATCTGAGAGCCAGCAGCTGTGAATAATTAGCAACGATTGCATACAAAGATTTTCTTCATGTGTTTTTTGCTGGTATGAGCAAAATTAGAGAGAAGTTTGCTAATGAATCATTTATGCTGAGCTGAGAGACCACATGTTTAATGCTTCTTATCTGCGTGCTTGTGAGAAGACTTTTGCTCATGAGCCCCAGTTTGTTTGAATGCAAACAAGGCATTACTGTTATGCTGACACTTTTTCAAATCAAATCCCAAGATACCAATTAAATCTGTTATATGAAAAGATTGTAATAAATCACTGTGAAATAGCAGGAAGGGAGAGCGAGGCACGGGGGGTCCATTGGTTAATTGATCGCGGATGGCGTCTATTCTCTCGGACAGATAACAAAAATATTAATACAAAATGCTGAAATGGGTCGCCAGTAATATACCTCGGCGTAAAGCCAAGGTAAAGTAAAGCCTATGTATGGTAAACATTGTCTTGTTACATTGACACAAACCATGAAATGAAAAGGTAATGTGTGCTTGTGTGTACCAAACAGTTATACAACCTGGCAGTGGAGTGAGGAAAGGCTTGTCTTGACAACATGCTGGTATGATATGAGTGGTGTATAATAAGGGTTATATATCAAACGTGTAATGTTCATGTTGCTACACTGTTACCTGGGAAGATGACGCGCTCCACCCTCGGATCAGCCTCCAGAAACTTGGCAGCAGCCATGGCGTTCTGGAAGTGCCGCTCCATCCGCAGGTGTAGCGTCTTCAGTCCTCGGTTGCACAGGAAGCAGTCAAAGGGAGACGGTACGCCACCCAGTGCTGAAAGCAAGGCAGGTTCACATGGAGTAAAAAAGACAAAACAACAACAACAACAAAGAGGTCACAAAACCTCCCAAAAACCCAGATCAGGCAAACAACACAAGCATAAATAAATACTTCCTTCTGAAAAGGTTTTTAATTGGTTCTGAACTTTGGCCTCAGGAGCATGTTTTGGTTGTTTAATGAGTGAATGTAGGTCAGGTTGAAGTAACCAGTCCTCCAAATACTGAGTGTGGCAGAGCCGGACATCAGGCGAATATATGCTACTAGAACTGTTCACTTTCTGAGATCTGTATCCTCAAATCAACTGGTAACATTCTGTCAATTGATTCTTTTGTTTTATATATCTGATCAAGTTTATTTAAGCAGCAACTCACTAAATGTGTTATTAATTTATACTTTCTACTCACCATTTTGCAGAAACTTTAGTCGCTCGTAGAGATCGTCCCGGTTCACAGAGACCAGACCCATTACCACATCACTGTGACCTGTCAAATTAAAAGGCAGGAATAAAAGACAAGTTGGAATAAAAGACAAGAATAAAAGACAAGAATATAAACACAATATAACAATGTTGTAAGTTGTTATTATTAGATCGGGTAGATTAAATCATGTGTGCATGTTTTTGCTTTGCCTGACTGTCTATGTATAAAGTTAGGTTTTCCTTGCAAAATAAATGTTTGATAAAAATACTGGGAAAGCTCAAGCTCGACCATTTCGGTGTCCTAAAACCTCTGATAATGATGTGGTGAAAATTACAGACTACAGATCCTCCACATTCTTCATATTGACACATAAGCTGACGGACAAAACTGGTCTCACCTGTTCTCAACATTGACCCCAATACACTGAAGTATGTTTGACATTTTTTGCATCAAATTTGAATAAAATGATCATGTTGGTAAAATGGGAAAAAGCTTATAACCTACCGTTCATGTATTTGGTGGCTGAATACATGCAGATATCAGCTCCCAAAGCCAAGGGGCGCTAAGGAGCAAGTGTACAAGACAAACATGAGTTAATCAGTGACATGTATCCACATGAACTGGAATTTGATTGCAGGAAACTGTTAAGTGCCTTTTCAAACTCAAAGGGGCATGAAGTTCACGTCTGTCGCTTCTCACCTGGAAATAGGCAGACATGAAGGTGTTGTCCACAACCACCACTATGTCTTTGCTGTGTTCGTGGACCAACTCAGAACAGGCCTTGATGTCAACAACCTTCATGGTGGGGTTGGTGGGCGTCTCGATCCACACCAGCTACACAGAGAAAGAGACGATTGCATTATAGCAGCGTGTTTGGGAGGGTGAGGTGGCGAACACACACACACACTGACTCCACTAGAGAGACAACTCATCTACCGGTGAATGTACCATGAAAACCAGTAACAATCCTTACACAATCCTTACACAATCCTTGCACAATGTGCTGATTCACAATGACAGCTTCAAGTTTGCCTAAATGACACACCTAATTATGCAACAGGCGAGCAAAATCAGACTTGAAACAGGAGCTTTAATGAGGTCTTTTCATTATGTACCTAAAATGATCAAACCCAACTACAAAAGCACTTTATTCTCACAGTATCATCCTTTGACTTACTTTAGTGTTGGCTTTCAGAGCAGCCTTCAGCTTTTCTGGTTTTGTACAGTCAGCAAAAGACACCTCCAGACCAAGTTCAGTGGCAATCCTTTGGAAGTAGCGGTTTGTGCCTTGCCGTTGAGAAAGTGAAACCATGTTAACGCCTCTAAAAATACACACTTGTGGTTCAAAATACGCTCGCAGTGCGCTTCGACTTTCAGGCCGACAGCCATTTTCTACAAGTGAGTAATGTTGCATCATTTCCTACACAATTGTGCAAGTTACAAACGGTCGTGTCTCACCTCCGTACACGTCATCCATGCAGACAATTCCATCGCCGGCTTTCAGCATGTGCGTGATGGTCACCGTGGCCGCCAGCCCCGAGGCGAGAGCAAGGCCTGCGGGCGAAAAGCACAAAAGTTATCGAGACCACAAAAATCCTTTTCATGTTAAGAGGAAACAGAGGCTGCAGGTTGCACACATTTCATCTATTATGACAGATGATCTAATTTGTTAAATACTTCCTGTCTCTGTGGAATATGCCCGCTGTGATTATGTCTTCATTCATTTTATTGGATTTAATTTTTTTGTATCATATCGTTTTATTGCTATAATTCTTACATTTCTATTCACTGTTGTTTTTACTTTTTGTCTGTTTCCGGCTGCATGTTTTTATGAAAGGTGCTAATATATATATATAAAGCTGAGAGAGTAGTGTGTCTGCTGTAATGGTGTACTTACAACAGTGTAATACTCACAATACTTTGCTCCATCCAAAGCAGCCACAGCCTTCTCAAGACAGTTTCTTGTAGGGTTTCCACTCCGGCTGTATTCAAAACCCTGAATAAAAACATGGTTATAAAGCATTAATAATAATATACTGTGCTCAAACTACAAAGGGAAGTAGTGTTTTTACATGCAGATTGCCGAAACACAAGTGTGCAATTATATGTTTTAGGTTTTATGCCCAACAGGACTAGAACCCTTTAAAAACACAGCTGGATGGCGGCCCAGCAGGGTTTAACGCACCATCCGTACCTGTATTGGCTTGCCACTTTCTGACCAGGGTCTGTCTTTTGTTGGATAATCTGATAATAAGTGGGTGTGAACAGAAGACTGAAAACTGTGAGAACCACCATTTACAAACCATTGATTGTGTAGTAAGAGACTAAATAAATGTCTGTTAAAAATAAGCAGTAAAAGGGGAGAAAAGACAACCTTGCCCAGTAATTTAATGCTTCACCATGGAATGTGGAACTGTTATATGAGCTCGCTGTTTTGCAACAAGGATGTACACTTAAAACACACAACATTGAAACAAAGACATATGATTTAATAAACTATATGAACACTGGGGGTTGTTATTGCCGTCAGTCATACATGAAGCTTGAATGGCCTTGAACAGAGGGTTAGTGTAGCCGTCTCTGTGCGAAAAACGCCATCTGTAAATATGCCGTAGTAAAGCAGATGGTAGATAAGCTTAACGTTACTCTAGATTACTCTGGTTTGGATATTTCCCCATTTAAAACAAAAAGCAGCCACTGGAAAGGTAAAATAGCTAATCCAAACTTTCTACAACTTGTGATACAGAGGAATTGTGAGCTTTGTATGAATATTGTGTGACTCAGTGGCCAAGCATACCAGGGACAATCTACAAAACAAGGTCAAGGGGTCAGGAGATCAGTGTGAGCGGTGCAGTGGGATATTTCTTTTTAGTTTGAGTTGATTTAAGTGAGGATGCAGTTTTAGCTCTTAATTCTGTACATATGCCTCAAGATTAGTCTTAAAACCGGGAAAACATGAAAGAACGTTCATTCCTCTCGTAAATGGACTGTGCCTTGGAGCGACAAATAGAAATGAGAAACCCTAAATGGCCTCTGCTTTCAATCATTCATTTTATGAGGTGTCCTATCTGTGTGAGCTAGAAACGGTGACACTTCCAAACTTGTGATCTGTAAGCCAATTCATGACTAACCTACAATATCATTTTTGACAGAGATAAAAGACAAGTAGTAAAAGACCTTGTTTTCTGGAAAAATGCCAGCTGCCCTGTTAAAACTACAGAGAGACAGTGATAAGGGGGAAGAAAAAAACCTTTATTTTTATCCCACGCAGGTTGGTTTTAGTCTGGATTCCCAGACAAGGCCTCAGGGGCCAACTTCACACAACACAAAAAGGGAGAAAAACATACTTTTGAATGGAGGAAGCAGACAGGTAATACAGGTGTATGACATGTACACGGTCCGTCACTCACTTATAAGAGAGATGTATTACAGTCCAGTATTTTACATAACTGAATATGCAATCTCTGTATAGTTATTAACAATACTTATATGTGTAATTCCAATGAATACTTTTGATCATGTATAGAGCATTACCAGGAAGAGAATAGATTTGGACTATGGACCTAGTTTTTGTTATAGTTAAGTTTAAGTTCATTGTTTTCTGATGGGTAAAACATGGATGCCCATAGTCACCCTGTGTATTTATAATGGCCATAATGGGAGCTGAAAGGGCTTGAAACTGGGCTATGCTAACAAAAATGTCCCTGTATGCAGATGACACAAGGTTCCCTATTGTTAAATTCCTCTTTATGATGTGTTGTTATGTGATTTCCATCCATCCACAGGGAAACAGAGGGATTCATATTGTATCAATTATCTTATAAATATATAAAACATATATTCTTAAAGACATGTAGAAGAGAGTTTAGATGTACTAACATGTTTATATGACTCAAATATCCTCAAACAAAAACTACAGCTATTAATGGGCTATTCATTTATAACCCACTCAAGCCCTCGTGTGTGAGGTTCTCCTTCACCCACCGGATCTTGTCCATCAAAGCCCTCCTCAACCCCCGCCTTAAATAACCCAGACATATCGGGTTATACTTACGGCGTGGTTTCCTGGTCCGCTCTGCTTGAACGTGGTAGAGAGAGAAATCGGCGGCACTACAGCCATTGATTTCCATTGTTCCGGCTCCTGTCCGACGTGAATCGCCTCAGTGGCGAACGATTTGAAAGCCGTGCTGAAGCCGGCGAACAGGTCGCTCTGCTCCTCTCGTCTGTGGTTCTGCTCCATGACACAGTGCGCGTTTCCTCCCCCGACGGCGGACTAAACTGCGAGCGGAGGATGAGTATGCATTACCGCTGGATGGTGAAGGGGCAAAGCCATTTAACGCTTGTCCCCGCTGCGCTCGTCCCCGAGAGCCAATCAGCGCCCATCAACAAGCGGAGGACGGCGCTGATTGGTTGCTGCGCAGGGGCGTCGAACCCACGTGATCACGCACGTTGTTTGCGTTCCGTGTGTGTATGTACTGATGTAACGTTTCCTGTTGTTTGAGTCAGGGAGGGTCACAGTTTTACACTCGTTTATGTCTCATTTATTACAGCTTTACTTCACCAAGTTAGTTTAAATTAAATGTAATACTGTTTTTTATATATATATTGTTTTTAAACGTGTCTTAATGCGATAACAAGAGTCGATAAGAACAAGTTAGCCTACAGATAAACCTAGATGTGTACAAACAAGTGAAAACAAAGACAAATAAAAAAGGGGATAACCGAATCAAACCCCTAAAATATATATACAAAAATCGATTACAACACAAGTGAAAGGCTACCAGTTACACAAAGTGCTTGAGAGTGCAACATCTCAAACAAAGGCTTTGAGAAATTAACTGGATGAGTATGAGTGACCCCTGGTGTCATACAGGCAAGAAAGAAATAGATCCCAGAATGACAATCACATTTTTATCCATGTCGTGAAGAAATTAATGCAGATCTTTAAAGTCGAAAATCCCTTTGAAGTAATTATAAAGAAGGAACACAATCTAACCCCATACAACACTCAGGATATTATACTATAACGCCATAAGTGTTGTTTGAAATGATACTTTGAATGTTGTGTATTTCTTGTTCCTCGTGGCACACGCAACTGAGCGTTTAGCTGCATTTCCATTCTTGAGCCATAGGGGGAGGAAGTGCTCTGTATTGACTCTGATATCACCGCTGTCTGTCTGTTCAGCTTCACCCTGTCTGAACTAAAGGTCGTGGCGTCATTGATGCTCCAGGTAATACGTTTGATCCCCGCGAGTGTCACTGAGTCCTAGATAGACAGAGCAAAAGCAAAGTCACATAAATCACGAGACAAAAACATTCAGTGAGGTAGATAAGAAAACAAATACAAAAGCCATAAATAATAAAGAACCTCAATAAAAGTTAGTATAGAGACTGAAACAAAAACAAACACTCACTTCAACCTCTAAAATGTGCTGAACATGCACTCTACAATAATAATGCCTGAGCAATACACTGCATTTGTTGTGGAGCTACATACTATTGCATACTGTACAAAGGTGCTGGATTGAGGATGATTAAAAGAGCAGCAGAAAAACAAGAAATACTTTATATTTTGTATCTGCATACACTCTTGTAGAGTCTTGACAGCATGGACACATCAGCAAATGCAAATGTTGTGTAAATGATACAAATGTGATAAATGTATCAGCAGATCACTCTTCTATGAGAAAAAAAAACACTTGAATGTTTCGACAACATAAAATTTTAACAGAAATTCTGTTTGATTGCATCTTATTATCTTGCTGTCTCTTGTGGGACTGATTTCAAGCATTGTAGACTTGGATTGTAGATGTTATTGGGTTTTTAGGGGGAAAAAAGTCAACTAGAGGACCAAAAACTATCCCTTTTTGTGTCTGGGGCTGCTACTTGTGTCAGCTTTGTTACATTTTATAAACAAAATGTAAATTGAACTTGTATCTTTTATTATATGTTCTTCGGGCACTGGTGCAATGTATTGAGTGTTCTGCTCTTAAACGTGAACGTGAGAGAGGAAAATATTCTATAATAATAATAATAATAATAATATTTATTGTCAGTAGGCTTCAGCTCATAAAGTTGAGGTTGAAACACTCAAGACTTTAACATTGGTAGTTGTAGTTGAAGTAGTGGCAGTAGAAAGATACCTTACAATAAAGTATACTGTTAACCGTGATGGAAAGTAACTCATAAGTATTTATTTGAGTAATGTACTTATAAGCTACTTGAGTAAATACTTATTCACTTGCGTATTTTCATTTTATGTTACTTTACATTTAAATTTTCTAAATTTTTTACCCACTTTTTACAACATTTATCTTACAACTGGAATTCACATTTTGATACTTACATTTGGATGAATGCACTTTTATTTAAGTTCTATTATATATCTAGGAATTGTATTGGTAATGGAGTACTTTTACAGCGTGATATTTGAACTTTAATATAAGTGAATAATTAGAATATGAACTCTAACCCCACAATATAGAATAGTTTAGATAAGCTGCACCTCATTCAATTACAACAATGAAATGTTACTAACATTTATCTGTTAGTAGCATTAACAATTCAATAACGTAATCTACAATAACACAGAGGCATTTTCTGCATAACAAGTACTTTAAGTTTTAAGTGTTGATGATATGTATGTACTTTTAGTGAAGCAAAACTTCTTCCACCATTGCCAACCCATAGCCTGTTTATAAACTATCAGTAGTGGAAGAAGCGTTCAGATCCTTTTAAAAATACTAATAACAGTAGCAATACTACAATGTGAATTTCTGCATTAAAATTGTACTTCAGTAAAAATACATTATTGCCCTCTGAAATGTATTATTATTATTGTTGTTGTTGTTGTTGCAGCGCAACTGTCTGAGGTGGATCTAAATGTATCTGTTTTTATATACTATTGGGTGGAATAATATCTGTATAATACCTTATAAAATGATCAATAAGTATGTAAAATCATGACCAGAAAAGTCACTTTCTGGTTGCTATAGCTGTGAAATGAGTAGGTCAAATTATTAAATACAGTACATGAGTAAATAAGCCTTTACTGTGTTACTTTCCACTATTATGTGCTGTGTATTCAAAGCATGTAACACATATATTATAACCTATATTTATATGTGTGGATGACTGACGGGATTAGGAAGTGACCGTTAGTAACCTTCCTTGAACTCTCGCGATACTTCGAGGCGGAAGACATTCCGCCGAATCTTCCGTCCTAGTCAACGGGAGCCGCTTATGTTGTGCAGCAAGCAGCGACAGTTTTGGGCGACAGGAGGAGAGCGAACTGTTTGTTTTCATAGTGAACCGGTGAACGGAAGCGTCTACTCCTTCGTCCCCGAACAAACGGTGTTTTTGTTTGTTGCCCGTCCGGTGGCGGAGTAAGTGTTTTCATGTTGTGCAGTTTACAGTGTTTACGTGAAGACTCCCAACTGGAGAACCGCATCAGTTCGCCCGGAGGGTCATCGTCAGCGACGACTCCCTCGGCTCCGTTAGCGACAACTGTTTAGAAAATGACCGGAGAGAAGATCCGCTCCCTGCGCAAGGATCAGAGGCCGAGCAAGGACGAGGATTTACTGGAGCCGGACGAGGAGGCAGCGACCGGGACGTTCACCGCCTCCAGGACGAGCAACAAGAGCAGAGCGAGTAAAATCTTCAGCAACCACAAGTTAATCAAGTCCTCGTCCACACAGCAGAACCAGCAGTCGCAGATCAATGCGAACACCAACACACTGTCCACGTCGGATGTCATCGATGATAATAACAAGAACCCCATTATCCGAACCGGGCAGGACTTTCCGGTGCATGAGTGTGTGTTTAAAGGAGATGTCCGACGCCTGTCTTCTCTCATACGGACGCAGAATATCGCCCAGAAAGACGTCCATGGTGAGTCTACCAGCCGCCCTTTCTCTTAGCCCCGAAGGCAGGATCCTAGAGACCCATCATGATCTACCAATTTCAAGGTCCAGTGCGGCTTAGTTGTAGCCAATAGGCCCATTTAGTCTCCAGCAGCACTGGAAGTAGGCGAGGCTTCTCCCTGCCGAGGCCCTGGACAACTCATCCCTAAAGAACGAGGAATAGTTTGAATCCACTGCCCTACAGTTTCACATCCATCCAAGTTTACAGAGCAGTGTGTATTAAGATTCACAATTACAAGAACTAGTAACCAAAAACAAAAAAAACCCTTCTCAGATAAGCCAACTCTTTGGTTAATTGCTTATTAGAAGTTGGTCCACAGCCAAGAGAGAGTAGGTGTTCAGGAATTCTTTGGGAGCACCTCTTCTGCAGGGCAAAGTCTGCTCAGATAACGCCACGGTTTCCAAAGAGAAACCCTCCCCTGGACTGACAGAAAAAGGACGAGATTAGTTTGTTCCGGTTCACGTGCAGGGACAAAAGATGGCTGTGTGCTTGTGCTCAGTGTCAGCACTGGAATGTGGTTCTTCTTCAAATCAAAAGCCCTGACACGGTGCAGCGAGGTGTCAGGACGGGGCGTTTAGCCTCTGGTGTTGTTTTGGAACTTGAGCCTGTATTTTTCAAAAGGTTCGTTCTGTTTCTTTGTGCCTGTCGTGTTGAGGGTTGGTATGGCTCAGTGGCAGCAGTCACATTAGTTTAGTTTCCACCGGCTGTCACGTCATGCATTAATATCAGTCAGTGTTGATTAAAGTAGGATAAGAACGAGGAAATGAAGCTGTATTATTGATCTTCCCATTGGGGCCGAACATTAGCCATGTACAGCAAGTCTGATGTACAGTACAGTTAATGGTTATACGTGAACCAGTAGCTGTGTAAGTTATGCTCCGGTGTTTTCAGCTGTCCTGTCTAATGGGGTTGCAGTTGATCAGTTTTTGGGAGTTCGTCTGTTATAAAATCTCAATAGAATAATAAGGAATTAAGTCATTAAGTTGTTTGTCTGTCTAACTACATTAAATATATTAAATTTCCAATTTTATTAACAGTGAAAAGCCCTCACAAAGAGCTGGAACCATTTATTGTTTTTAAAGTTTATCATTGACGAATGACTTACAAAGGTCTGTTCATTCTCAAAATTGACGAGTAGTGTAATCAGTTAATTGACTAATCATTCCAGCACTACGTTTGTCATACGTTTTATGGAAGAAATAGTCCCAATGACATCTGTTAACAGTAAGATCTGGATTATGAAATCTCCAAGATCTCCAAGATGAATATCTCCAAACTTCAGACGAGAAAAGTATCTCCGTGGCGAGAGAAGGGAGGAAGTATTTAGTGATTCGGTTGAGCGGGTCGTTTCAGTGCTGTTTACAGTAGCTGAGCAGGTATAAGGGTTCATTGTCTTACCCAAGGACACTTGAACTCCAGGTGTGGTTGTTGCAGTCTGTAACCACAGGCCTGCAACAGAACGTAACCTTAGTTGTGCCACTGCCCTACCTATGCAGTTTATCACTGCTGTAGCTGATCCAGGACTTCTACAAGACGGGCCCTCTTTGGCTCTGGATGCTTGCCCACCGCTCTTCCCCTGGAAGAGAAGCTTGAGGGAGCTGACGGGGCACTTCGGCTTCCTCTTGGGGGATTTTCCAATGCTTATGAGGCACATTTCACATCCTTGGGAAGAAAACCTGTGCTTTTCCACACCTGACTCAAATTTCACCATTCAGTATTTACTCTGTGTCTGTTAACAAGCCATGTCTGTTAAGTGCGGCTTATTTCAGGGTTGAAGTAGGTTAATAGACTGTAATATTGCCTGTCATGGTGGGAGGACACACAATAGGCATATACTTACCATATCATTTGGAATTTAGTGGATACTGCCACCCAATTTAAACATTTAATTGACCCTGAGTGTGACAGTCCTAGAGGCATGCTGCTTGTCACAGACTCTCTTATTGTGCTTATCAAAGCCAGAGATAAATTCAGTTTTTTTTTCTCTTCCTATAGGAAACACACCGTTACATCTCGCTGTCATGATGGGGCAAAAAGGTGAGTAATGTTTAAAGATGCACGTCCACGTGCCTTTATTTTTGTTTCTCTCCGTCCGTGTGGCTTTCTAAACGAATCCCTCTGCGGGTATGCATGTCTTTTGTTTGTGTTTCCATTTATTTGTGTGTGTTTTTAAGTTTATTTTCCAGTCTTTGTGTGAGCATTTGTTTGGCTAAGCACCACCAGACATTTGTCACAGATCACCACACAAATCCCAGACGGCAAGATGCTCATGCATGAATAAAAAGGTTGTGTTTATGGATCTTTGCCTGGTGAAAAACCGGATTGAGCAAGCAAACTATTTTCTTTCTTTTGTTATGCACATGTCTTCTCTTCTGTTTACTACATTTATAGAGAATATTAGAACCATTTAATCTGTGGGGATTAGATAATGATGACACTGCAAGAAATACGATCGTCTCAGTGGCTACAGGCTCTTGTTCTGATTGATGTTCCACCGCCGGCTCAGAGACTAATAGTTTTAAGCTGGCAAAGGGGATAATAATTTCAGATAAGAGAGCATTTTCAATGGGTTCAGTGTGTTGTTATTCGTTTTTCTTCTTGTGCGTCTTGTGCTGAAGAGGTTACTTAGTCGTTATCCTATTTTTCAGTTGAGAATGAATCAGTTGTGAGAAAAAAATGGTCCCAAATGATGCAGTTTTTTGGCACGTTTCAAACAGATATTAAAGCAATGTGTATTTTCCCAAAGGACAGTGGAAGTAAAAAAAAAATTACAAGTTGTGTTTTTATGTAACGCATCCTAGAAAAATAATCAGAACAAAGAAAACACAGCTTAGTACAAACCTTTACATGATTTTGTTTTCAGCTGGACTGAAAGCATGAGCATAAAATATTAATGCACTGCCCCTTTGTGAGTCTATGCTTACATTTGATTTCACAAGGAGACTTCAGAACATGCTATTGAAAAATTAATCCCCTTTTTTTGCACTGAACAATTCAAGCATAGGGTTACGTGTAAAGCACATTCCCATTTGTTTAGTGTCTGTCATTTGAGCATGGGTTTCAATTGATTTCACATTCGCAGAGCTCAATTCCTGCCGTTGGAGTGAAGGCCCTGCCACTGCCTATTGGTAATTCAGAAAGCGGAGTGCCGGAGTGTAGTGGCGAACGGGACGCTATGGAATTGATTGTGCAAATGAGGTTGCCTATCTCTTGCCTGAGCTGCTAGCCTGTCCTCCAGGGATGCTCAGGCCAGACAGGCTGAAGGCTACAGGATGAGATCATAGTCTGGGTGTGGCTGGTCTGTTGGGATGGAGAGGACAAGGCTCCCCTTTTGTGAAAAATACCTTGTATAAGAAGAAGAGAAACCATTTTTGTTACCAACAGCCAAAAAAAGAGCACAACGGTGTTCACATTTTTGGTTCTGCCACTGCTAAGAAATGAAATAGTAAGAAAGGAGCGTTAAATACACTACTTCAGGTGCAAGGTTAAATTAATATTTGTCCAAAAAGAAATGCCTGCACTATAGTGTGCACATGTTGAACTGGGCACCACATATTCTTTATCCACACTTATTTTGTCCTTTAGGAAAACATTTATCAAGCTGTCCCTGTTGCTGTTACAGGCACTTTTTCTCTCAAGGTTTTCAAAAATCTTCAGGGCAATTGTATACAGCTGCTGCAACTAAAAGCTATTTTCATCATTGATTAATCTGCCAGTTATTTTCTCAGTTAATCATTAGTACATGAGCATAAAATGTTGGAAAATACTCAAAAATACCCATTACAATTACTCGTAGCCCAAGCTAACGGTTCTGACCAAACACTCCACAACCCAAATAAAACATTAACATTAATTCAATATTAGAGAAGCTGTAAGGAGAGAAATGTTGGCGTTTTTAGCTTCAAAATGTTCAATATAGTTTTAAACTAATCAATTGATCTACTAATTGAAAAGTAGGACTAGGTAACTAACCATATAAATATTTACAAGCTCAAAGTTGCTGTTTACATATAGGCTAATAGGAACATCCTAACCCAGAGATCCATAGAGAAGTGAGAGAGGTCAGCAGCGCCCCACACGCCACACCTACTGACTGCCTACACACAGCACAAGAGGAGAGGGACTGTACGTTTTTAGAGTTGTTACTGCAATCGACTGCGATTACTCTAAGCATTTGAGCAGCATGCATGGGAATGAATTACAATATAATATATGAACATATTTCTCACTTTTCTCTAATTGTCTGAATAAGTCACTAAAGTTGTCGACAGTCGTTTTTTAGAAATAAAGTCACTAAGACAGTCTGAAAAGATGCTAAACCTTACAGGAGAGTTACAAAGTTGGCAACATTGACTGTCTTTGATTGATTTTGTGTGTATGCGTGGAGCTCATGCAAGTGTCATCTCACATTTTTCAAATTTAACCACCTAACAATCAATTATTATCATTTATAATGAAACATTTTTCTATTTCTGCTGTTTTTATTGTCCCCAACGGGACCTTCTTAAGTTTGAGCGCTTCACGTTAGTAAATATTAAAACAACTCTGAAATGAATGGTGTAAATGAATGTACTACAGTGGATTTCTATTCAATAAATACACTTCAGGTCCCTATCTCAGTCATTATTTGCAATGTGTCCCATATGCATTCTCGGGAAACTTGAAGTGGACGCAAAGGTACAAGATAACAACCCAGTGAGTGTTTGGAGCCAATGTGGCAGTCGTCTTTGATTTTAAACAGATCGCCACTAAAAAAAAAAGAGCAGCCCCCTAAATCGAGAGATGATATTAGTCTCATTATGTACATCAACATCATCATTCATTAAGAAGAAGACACAGTATTGGTTTCGGTCAATCTGCAAAGTAAACCAGGTGAAAGAGCCTCAGTTCTGCCTCAGAGACTGCGACAATGTCTTCCTTCAGCTCCTGTTTGATTCGGTTTGCTGAGTGTGTGATCGATGGTGAGGAAGTGAGCAAAAAAGCCATTTTATAGATGTACTCAGCCTGGGTCTGAATGGGTGGTGATGGTGGGGGGGATTTTAACAGCCCACAGAGCCTCTTAACAACTGCCCCATCTGTAGCCAGTGCACGTAGTGACGCATTAGATTAGCACTTTATTTCTCCATCCGGCCCTGCCTCCCTCATTCCTCTGTTTGAGTTGGATGTGACTCGAGCAGGACCTCCGTACAGCTGCTGCACATGCAATCAACCCAGAAAGCTGCAGGGAGACTTCCTTTTATCAATACTTTCACGACTGTGTATCGAATCAGACAGCAAATAAAAGTCTGACTCAAAAGAACCATATTTATATTGCATTATATTATAACTCTATTATATGTTACAGAGCTGAAACAACTCTATTTATTAATTGGTTGATAGACAGAAAACAGCATTTTTAAAAACTGTATCCCTTTTTTGGTTAGCTGGCAATAGAGAGATGGAAATAAAGGGATGGAGGGACAGGGAATGACTAGCAACATGGCACCACCTGGACACAAACCAGGTTGCAATTCCTGGTTGGTACCTTTACTCCTAGCCTACCAGGACACCGCAATCAGCAACTAATTTAATAATAGATTAAATGTTCTGTGGTTTTAGCTTCTCAAATGTTAGGATTTGCTGCTGTTCTTTGCCATTTTATGTTAATAAATAAAATATGTGTAGAAACATGGTGGTTCAACATGTGGAAGCCTCGGTGGAAGGCGACCCGCGGTGTTTAGATAAAAACGTCTCATTCTGAGGCCACAAAAACATAATTAATCTAATTTTCAGGTGATTAAACGCTAATGAAAACCTTAAATATTCCATTTCTGCCAATAGATCGTCCTAAATGTTTCACACTATAAAACAAGTTGAAACTGAAAATCCAAGACAGATCTTGAACGTCCACGTACTATGGCTTGCTATATATTTTTCGTATAATCGCCAAAGCCAGACAGTTTTCTCCTTCTACCTGAAAGGCTGAAGCCAGACCAGAAGCTAACAGGTCCAAACACATAGCCCGCCTGTTCTCTCTATATGGTTATGTATCTATATCTGCTAAATGTTGTCGTTATTATTACACAATCATTGGATTTAGCGGGGTGATATATAGGTCAAAGGCCCGCGGGAATGTGAGGCTTACGTCAGAAAGCAAACGCTGGAGCACTTGGCAGCCTCTATTTTCTCGACATCAACCTCTGTTATCAGCTTCTCCATCCCTGAGCCCAGGCACAGATCGAGGCTAATGCATAAACACAGAGGTTTGCTTTTTTTGCTGATGTAAGGCTCTTTGTGAGGCACTCTGCAGCTACATTCATCCTTTCTGGTGCCAACACAGCTTCTTTATTTAATTAAAGTGTGCAATATGGCCTGTATTAGTCAATCTTTCTGAAGTGGTCACCATTTGGACAGTATGCAGCACTTAATATGCAGATCATGTTGAGCAGAATTGATCAGAAATTTGATAAGGAAACAAATTTAGATTAGCCAAGTCTTTGAACCTCAGCTTCTCCCCCAGTGTGAACACAAGGACTTGGCCTGTCTTTGTTCATTTTGATTTTCTCTGCCATGCTTCCACTTCCAGCAAGCTGTACATTACAGCAGTGGTGTTGCTTATAAGTGTTTTTGTAAAAAAAAAAAAAATATATATATATATAGCCTAAAGGTGCTGTCACAACCCGGCTTTTTATTTCTCCTGCAACTATTCTCTTGGGATAGCCACCTTCCTCTTTGTTGTGTGGATAATGTGTTTTAATTAGAAATAGTTTCAAAATGTATTCCTCTCTGTCATAAAGAATTTATGAGGCCCTGGCCTCTTTCTCGTGAATAAAACATAGTGAGTATGTAGATCAGAGGGGTGATGTGGTATTTTAGACTATGTGACAATGTTGCTATGAGTTACGCTCTCTTTTCAAAAGGCAGAAGTTGTTACTTCTGATTGTGTGCTCCAGGTTGGCAATGTGAGTATGCTATTTGAGGCAGGATTTTTAATTGCTTTCATACTGATGTTTAGCAGGGGAACAAGTCTGAACTTGAAGGCACTAACCAGTTTGAATTTGTCCACATGACTAATAGGGATGACTCAAAGGTTTACAGTGAAAGAGGATGTATTGAGAGCTTCTGTGCAGCTTTTGTCAGTCTAAATGGAAAAGGCTGGTGAAACAGCTGTAATAAAGCCTAAGTTCCTGCCCCATCAAGTGAAAGCCATACATATCCACTCAGCAGCAGACTGTTAACAGTTAGCCTCTGCTTTGCATTTGAGTGGTTTGCTGCTCACAGGACTGTGACTGCTCCTGCCCAGTGCTGAGACGGAGCTGCACAGACAGTCGCCAGCATTATAATGAATGATGTCACGACAAAACTGACAGCTGAGCCAGAACAACAGGCTTCATTTTTGGCGAGCTGTAGTTTGTTGACACACTGCCCAGAGAGTGAAGGGATTTTGTACTGCACTTACTGCTGATCTTGCCATAGAAATGGGATGAGGCTCTTTGGCTGTTTTCCCATTGTTGGAATACAACAGCTTGGAGGGTTACTCCGCACTGTACCAGGGGATGATTTTCGCAAAGTTTGACATGTTCTTCCTGAGAATCCTTCCTCATTTTAGAGCAATATGGATTTTAAAATTGGATGCTAAGTCTTGTGTAACTCTAGGCCCCATATGGCTCTTTGGTTAATGGGTCAGCTGTCATCTCAATCCTACACACAATCTGTCCCTCTATAAAACCAGGATTATTTTTATGCCTCCACTCCGAGGACAGACGTGTCCGGAGGCATTATGTTTTCGGGTTGTCCGTACGTCCCATTCTCACGAACGAGATATCTCAGGAACGCCTTGAGGGGATTTCTTCAAGGTCCACTTGGACTCAAGGATGAACTGATTAGAGTTTAGGGGTCAAAAGTCAAAGGCCAAGGATGATGTGAGGTCACAGTGAAAACATGTTTTTGGCCATGTTGACTCACTTATGCACTAATAGATACACAGCCTCCGTACCTTTCTTATAAAGTGCATGAATGTTGTGAGTCCAGTCCAGTTTTTTATTGTTTGAAACCTGAGGTACTTATAGGAGTCCACCCACTTCACTTACTCTCTCTGGATGACAACCAGGACAGCGTGGACGAACCTCCTGTTCCTCTGGTGGTCCACCACAAGCTCATTAGTTTAGCTGATATTGAGCTTCAGGTTGCACCATGTGGCGAAGCTCTCTATCGGTCCTCTGTAGAAATAGTGAAGACGGCATTTATCACTGGAAATCATTCAAATCATACATGTCAATATAGTGATAACTTTAACCATTTCGCCAACAAATCACTCAGTAAGGCATTTCTAGTTCCATTAAATCAGTTTTGTAATACACATGTTTATAGCATTCAAGGAAAATTGATTTGTTTATCAAAATGTACTGATCATCTTGTGAGCATGCATGAGCATTTGTGCAGGGACGTGTAGCACAGAAGAACAAAGTAAAGCCAGTAAAAGTGTGGCGGTTGCTTCCTCTCTTGGAAATGAGTTAAAATTAGAGCTGGGCACAGTGTTGGCATGAAGTTAAAATTAGTTTTCTTGGGCTTTTATTTGTCTGTTTGATGGGGGGCTCTGGGTATGAATTAAATGTGTGTAAATGTTACTATAGCAACATCAAAGGTGATGACAAGAGCTCGTGGGGAAATGTTAATCTCAAATTATTAGTCATGTCAGGATGTAGTGAATCTTTTGTTTTTGAAATGTCAAACAGACATAGTTTTCTTTCCTTTATATCTTAACATTTTGTATTGATGTGCTGTTAATGTGTATCATCAGGACATCACAAAGACTAATGAGGAAGTCATTAGAGCTTACTCACCTATTTGGGTTTGTCCTTTATGCCATTTTTGCTAAATAACCTCACCACTTCTTTTTTGCATCTGTTTCTCTTTGTACATTTTTGTCTCTCTAGTTAAAAGAAAACTAATTTCCTACATAGAAATCATCTCACTTTGAGGTTTAGGTGCGGAGTCAAAAGTAATGGTGCTGCATTTATCATTGTATCACCTCACCATTAAAAGCGTCTCCAGTACCTCCTGTTTAAGCAGAAAGCAGCAGTCAGGATTTTAATAGGTGGTCAGAGCAAAAAGTCGCTTCAGATGAAGCTTCACCGGTTGCCAGTTTGTAGCAGAACTGCCTTTTACAGGTTTGCATATGTCTTTTTAAAGTACACATAAGTTGACTGCAGTAATATTCCAGGTTTTAATGCCGGATGAGCCCACATCCAACCCTCCATCCCAGAGCAAACCTGTGCTTATTCCAAAAAATCTAGATCTTTTGTTATTGGAGCACCTAACCTGTTTGACACACATTTATGTTTATTTACGTTATAATTCAAGTACCTATCTGACCATCTTCTTGTTCCTCTTAACAGAGTGTGCCCACCTGCTGCTGGCCCACAATGCACCAGTGAAGGTGAAGAACGCTCAGGGATGGAGCCCCCTTGCTGAGGCCATTAGCTATGGAGACAGACAGATGAGTAAGTATCTGTTTGTAGTACACTGACACGTACTTTCAGCCCTGCTGCTATATACGGAGAGGATGGTGGTCAGTGACATTATTTACAGAAATCAATTTGGCTTCAGTAGAGTTTCAGTTTGGGTTTTCCTGTGTGAAAACATTGACGTGGGAGAGAGAAGGTGCGATCAGCAGATGAAAATCAGCAGTTGCCTCTGCACATTCTTCCACGCTGCTGCCTCCAAGTGAGGCCATGACGCCTGCCTGCCTCCTTTGTCCCTCGGAAAGAGGGGACATTCCTCAAGGCCCTCTGGCTTTTGTGCTGCGATGAAAGGCAATTCATTAGATGTTTCGCTCTCTCCTCATAGGCTGATTATGCTCAAGCCCCTGCCTTACCCATTTTCTACCCACGGTTCACAGTGGCTCAGACCTTGAGTTTAAAATGTTTTAAATATTTTTTAAGAATTATATTTATTCCAAATTGACCCACTCTTACTAGTAACCAAAATATCACTGACATGTAAGTGAAACTAATCAGTAAGTTAGTTTTTATGGATACTGGATGCACCTTCCCTTTTACCCTTGTAGTTGTTTGTTTTTTTAACTTGATAGGTGCATTTATCTTTTTAAAGCTCTTGGTATGCTGGTTCTTGGGACAGTAGGTTTCGCTCTGCGTGGTGGTGCTCTGTAGCAGTGGTGAGATACTAAATAAGAATGTGTCAAACTGAATTACGACATTAAACAAAACCCGACTGAGATGTTGAAGGGCCAGTGTTGTGAACTAATTTTGGCATATCACAAGTACATGGCGTTGGAACACTATATTTAAGGTGTAGGTTAAATAAAGGCAATAAGAGAGGACAAAGTAACAAAAACAGTGATGTCTGTAGATGATGGTTAGATATTGATGCAACAATATTACATTGAGACAAACACAGCTACAGTGACGGCAGGCAGAATGATGTCAGACTTTCTTAAACAAAAATGAAAGAGTTAGGACTAAATAGCGCAGCCGCTGCCACTTGGCACCAACACTGAGCGCTCATACAGGGAGGAAGCTTTAAGTGTCTCCATTGACTGCATCCTCTAATTAACTCTCTAATGCCACTACCAGGTTTATAAGTGTCTATATTGACTGGAGCCTCTAATGAACTCGGTGACACCATTTTTCTCTGCCACTGACGGGTCCTCACCTCGTCTAGCTTGTGCAGACCACTGTGTCATTCAGCTTCATGACATGTTGTCACTCATTTTTCCCTTTTGGAAAAACTTGGACAGTATGCAGAAAGCAGCAGGTTTGTGCCTGATGTGTGAATACTGTTGAAAACATTTTGGAAACTACAGAAAATATCTGACTGAAGTTATATTTATATATATTTATATACTGCCGTCGGAGGACCGCTCGGTTCTCGGTTATTGTGCACCGGTTCATTCGTCTTCATCTTGCTCGGAAAAATCAAATCAAATCAAATCAAGTTTATTTGTATAGCCCTTTACAATAGCCGAAAGGTACCCAAAGTGCTTTACAACAAAGCCATAAAACAATACAGAACACATACAGAACATACAGATACAATTAAAAGTGCTGTAGTGGTGCAGCGCTGCAGACATTAAAAGCCTTCCAGAAATGCATAGAAGTAAGCAGACAGAAGGAGGACACCTAAGAGACAGTACTGCCCTCAGAATTGAATGCTAATTAAAAAAAGTGGTTTAAGCTTCGATTAAAAAGGCTGAGATCAGTAGTGGTGCGAATGTAGGAAAAATGGATCTCTGTCACTTATTAGATATAAGAAAGGTACAAAACGCCCTGCCCAGAAACTTTACACT